CACAAGTACAACGATGAATAAATTACAGAGATTGAATTGATCAGTTCATTCTGGGTCTCTTTCTTACCGAATACGGGGACCTTGTTCTCTTATCCATATATAATATATATATTCTCTTATTCCTTACGCACATATATAATTTTAATGATTATTTTAATATTTATTTATCTATATTATATTGATTAAACTGTTATAATAAATTAAATAATTAATAAAAAATATATTACAATTAATGATATTAAGTTTTATCACGTCATATCATACATTTTTATATTTAATGGACAACTATTGATAAAAACCTATATATATGCCAAATTTCTATATATGTATGTATGTATGTATAGATATATAGGAAATTCTGACGAACATGCTATAAGCCAAAGCTGTTTATTAAAAATTTATTGAACATATTATTATTATAATCAGCTTTTTCAAGTATTAAATGCACCAGTTATGGATATTAAGTAAAAGCAATCCATGGCGTTGGAGTTTAAAAACATGACAAGACCGAAATTTTCTCTAAACAATCGATCTCTTTTCCCGTATAAAATATGCTTTAATTCCAATTAATTTTTTCTAACTACTCCAACTCCCCAATGTATCAATATAAAATTTACAGGGACAAGAAGACCAATATATTTTTTTATGTATCTTTACATATATATATATATATAATATCCAAAAATAAAAAGAATAATATTAGGCTAATTCTTGTTCTACTTCCCTTCAAATGTTATTTATTAGTTTATTCGGAATCCACATGAGATTGGATTTCATCGGCTAAAAGTCACGAGTCTTTTTTTTTTTTTTTTAATTAAGGCTTTTTTTATGGTACTCTTTGAACTTTTTAAATTTAACAATTTAGCCCTGATTATTTTTTTCATGGTAATTGACCCCATCAATTTAAAATTTTTTACAATTAAGGTCCAATTAAAAATAACGTTTACTTTTTTGACGATTATTTATGATCACATGAAAGCATGTGAGCATTCTATTGAGGGTAATAAATGTAATTTCTCACTTTTAGAGAGTCTCTTGAGGGTAGTAACCCTTACAAACTAATATGAGAAATGATCTGAACTGAATAAATAAAATGAGAAATGACCTTCATTATCCTTTATAAATACTCACATACACGCAATCAGAATCGCAAAAAAAAGCGTCATTTTTTATTGGAGCTTAATTATAAAGATTTAAAAGTTAAAAGAGATTAATTATTAAGAAAAAAAGACTAAATTACTTAATTTGAAAAGCTGAGCGGCATCCGTAAAGAAAAGCCTATAATTAAAAATATTAATCTCACAATCATTGTTTGAACAAAACCGAAGTTTCAAAGATCCTTATCTTTTCAACTTTCTGACCACTGCAAAATGCAAATGCCGAGTAAATTATACCAAACCACAATTGAATTAATGTTGCATATTTAAAGAGTTTACAATTTCCACTCCTCTTGACTTGTGATCTCCCAGCACCAAATGGGTTGTCTCTATCTTCTCCATTCCTTGCCGGTAACTTTAGTCGCAAGGGCTGATCATCTCTGTTGATATAGGCAGACAATAGTTGCAGAAGAGCATAGTTTTTCACCCACATTTTAAATGAGTAAATAGAGAGGAACGGGCCTAGAGTCAGTGGCAGGTCATGGGTTTTGAATCCCAATTGGATTTGGCTTGGCGCAGAATAAGAGGACGTTTGGTTCATGAATTTAAAATTATTTTTAATTTACGTGTATTTTTTATGAGAAAAAATACTGTAACGAGTAACGAATTATAATCCTAATTTTTCACTATTAATAAGAAAAAAAAGGAAAAAGCTAATTGACTATTTTTTAAGCAAACAATAGTCTTTTTACTTTCAACCATCGCAGAGAGAAAAATGTGGAGGAAGATTTCTTTTGGAAAAGTTACCAGAAGACAAACCCATTAATGAATTTTTATTTGTTAGTGCTTTAAGTATACAGTTGATATGGAATTGATCAATAATGGGCGGGGCGTATAAATTTGACGGAGAATTTGGGTCTATTATTTGTTTTAATGCAGTCTGTTTTTTTTGCCATTTTGAAATTGTTCAGTTGTGGAGCTAGCTAATTATGCCCAGCATTAAGAGGAATCCGTGGTATCGATCTTGTAAATTCAATAAAAGTAAACGGAAGATTCCACACTTGTAAAGTCTGGTTGTCTGCGCTAATTTTGGGTTATTATGAGAGAGTTTAGAGAGAGAGAAAAAAAAAGACAAAAAACAAAAAACAAAAAGTTGTGAAAGACTTCGAGACATACAGCTATAAATTTACGTGTTCATTTTTTATTAATTTATTTTTCTCTACGAGAGTAAGATAATATAGAATTAGGCGTCTAATTCTAATAGAAAGTGCGTAAATAAAGTATCTTTTATTAAAATTAATGCGAAGGGAATAATTCATAGTACCTATTCCTGGTTAAACCCCTAGTCTTTTATTGTTGATCAAACAAATACAGTCTATAACAATAAAATTATCAATCAGATTAAGATAATGAATTTGAAAAGGAGTGGTGTATAAATCTCTTTAAATGCAGCCACAAGTCTTGTTGTCAAGGATTAATAATGATCCTTGTAAAATAAGGACTATTTTGAAACATTGGACAATGAAAGTTTAAATGCCCGTAATTGGTAATACTTCCTAACATAAACTGTTTCTTTTGTGCGCAATTAATAAACCAGTAGCTCATGTTTATCCTTGACTCAACAAAGTCACCATCACTGAAAGCAAAACATGTGCAGCTACATGATATACATACAATTATAAAATTAATAGCAATGTTGAAATAGAAGCGGGTTTTGTATCTTTTCTCATTATAAGTACTCAAATCGACAAAAAAAAAAAAAAAAGGTTCTGCAGGAACATGATAAAACTGGCCTAGAGATGGGGCACTTATGTCCTAGTACTAGTGTTTGAGGAAAATAATAAAAAGAAACAAACTCATAGGTGGAACAAATTTCAAAAAGGCTAAGGTTTGAGCAGAAAAAAGTAATATAATTGCCATTATCTAAACACAAAAATGGGTCGTAAACGAGGACCCCATTTCATTAATTTTTATGTAAATTGATCACGGGATGTAATTTTCTGTTGCACCACATTAGATTGCACATATCATTGATGTGACTTTCAGGATCTCACTTTAGGAGGAGAAAAAGAAGAAGAAGAAAATAGAAAAAAGTTTTGAGTGCACTTTCTTTTCTTTAACGGATACAAAACCAGATTTAAAACATTACTGGAATTGTGCGAGGAATAATAGAGGTAAAAAGAGATTGAAGTGAAAACAATAAAAGAGAATATCATAATGAATGTTTGATCTTTTTGGTAAGCTTTTAGTTGCTCTGGAATGGCCACTGACATTATGACAACTAAGTTGTTCCATAACGTAAGCCCATATGTGTATACCTACTTTTGGGTAGATGTTTCACTAAGATGATAAAATTTTTTGAACAGATAAATATATAGTACTATATAGAAATTGGGTTTATTCTGACTGATGTGTGATAATAAGTTATCCCAAAGCTTTTAAGGAGAATCATGGCTTTGTCCAAGGTTAATTTGAAAAACCGGCATTTTCTTTGTGTATTGCTTTGAGCTTGATCAATGCGTGTTTATAAAAAGAAAGAACATCTCTAGTACTCGTAATCAGTAAATGGACCTGAAATAAGACTGCTTTGTGTTATAGAAGGAAATTTTTCATTTTTTTTTAGTGTCCTGATACTTTGACATAAATGTTAATGTGGTGAACTTATTAAAAAAAAGAAAAAAACTTGAACTAGATAATTTTGAGAACTTATAAATCATACTAGTCATTAATTTTGGCCGTCAAATTAAATCTGTGGATCCAATTGCAAACATCAACATAAATGAGAGGAGACAGCTTGAAGAAATTGATGGATAAAATTACAAAATAAGATCTTTTATGCCTTTTCATTTTTCGGGTTAAAATTTTCTGATATGCTTTCTTTTCGGGTGATTTTTTTTTTTTTACAACATTCTTAAAAGTCCTTTTTCTTTGGTAAACGTACAAGACATTAGTACTCATGCCTTTATGCTCTTTCCTCTTTGTAAGCCGTTTGATTAAAATTTGTAGTAAACATCTTTTCCATGTAAAGAAGGTGTTTCCCTTTCCAATTTCCATTGACAAGACAAGCAACATTCCAGCCAAAAAAATAAAAGCAGCGAAATGAGCCGTACGATTGCAGTCCTTTGGCACCAAGGACAAAGCCTTATTACAACGTGACAATATAACAATGTATAAAGCAATACAAAACTCTTATCCATACCAATGGCACACATTTTTATTGATTCATTTAAAGTGTTCTTCCTCATTTCCAAATTTGCCCCTACCTCGAATCCTACAATCAGCAAGCCCACTTGCCAATTTAGGTATGAGCACAGGAATTTCAATAACGCAGCATATTAATATGATCCAAGCAAGAAGCACATGCTTGGCCCGGAATTCTCCAGCAACAATATCTCATAGCTACTGTCAATATCTCAATAGTTTAAGCACACAACACAAATTCCAACCACAAAGTATTTCACATACTCAACAGTGTGTAAATCAAGCAACAACTACCTTTCTCCAATTCTAGCATAAAATATTTGATTGGTTTTCGCAACCAAAACTACGATTTTTCATCCCAAATCTTGATTTTGGAACCTAAATTCTTTTAAAGCCTATATCATGATGAGAAAACGTGGGAGACGAAGAAAATTAGACAATACTTGCATGCACTAATTAAACATTGATTTTGAGTCAGTCAAGTTGATAGAAAACCTGCCGGTCTTAGATCATACAGGCATACATGACAACATTCAACAAACAATACAAACTATAAGAGGTTTCCTGTGCGGAAACACGAACATGACCACAGACAGCAAAGACAATAAGTCTTTGGTTTTAGGAATTTTTCATAATGTTAACAATCTAGAGACGAACTCACAGAAAATTACTCATTGCAAATATAAACATAACAATAATATGAAAATAGCAGTAAGCTTGATGTCCTATCCAAATCCAACATCTCATAAGACCTCAAACTTCAAACATATCGGGTTCTGGTGCTTTCTACCTTTCACCCTGTCTTCCAAATCCTTCAAAGATTGTTGGATGGATAGCATCAATGGTGCTTCTTCCTTGCTTAGTTCTTGTTCCCGCACTTCTCCATAGCCCTTGGAGGTGCTAACAGAACCCAAAATTAACCAATATAAGAATCCCGTACGAATTTTATTTAAATCTACCAATTTTATTTCATTTTTATTGTTTATTCTATCGCCCAAGAAAACTAGATGCAGTCAAACAGATCAATGCACAACTAAAGTCTTTTGCAAGATACTTATCTATATGCTATAAAAGAAGCCAGAAAAAAATATGGACATCATGACAGGAAAAAGGGAATGAAGATCGATTTGTAATGGAAAACAGGCCTCTAATTGAGAATTACTATTTACTAGTACAAAGTGAACTTGGTGGTATCAATTCAAACGTGGATAGAAATGATAACCCAGAGTTTTTTTTTTTTTTTTTTTTTTTTTTTTTTTTTTTTTTTTTTTTGCTGAAGAAAACCCAGAGATTTACTTTAGCATATAACTGTTATAAAAGTTCCAATATGGCTACAGTGGGAATTTCGCAGACCAGACAGAATCACAGACCATCATCTCAAACAAAAGTGAGACGCTAAAATAGAAACCATTTTCCTGATATGCACACCAGAGAGTAGGCGTTAAATGTAGAAGTCAGTTCCTAATATGTGAATAATGAATTCCATCTCTTCAAAGCGAATTTCAAATGCAAACTGAGTTGAAGATTACATTCACTTTATTAAAAATTCAAATGCTACGCCTTCTATATTCAGTATGTATTCTTAAGGAGAGTTTTCCTCAATCCATAATTACCTTCCAGTTAGACACAAATATCAAATAATGAGAAACAGATTATACAAATATATTTTGAAAAATTTACTCCAAGAAGCCAATGTTGCATCATACACAAATAAATACACGAATTCACATTTTTTTAGTTAGGAATTTAATTACTAGAAAATTTATTTTATTAAGACTTAAGAGGCAACAATTACATTCCCTGTATATTGCGGAAAATATAAACATAAAAAATAAAAAATAAATAAAAAAAAATCAACAGCTAATATGCAGTATTTATACATTGTATGAGCATAGAGCCATGCATGTCCGCAACTACAGCAATGGATGAGATAGTTTCTTACCTAGGCCAATGGCATCAGAGCCCTTCATAATCCTCATCTTTGTGCATGTCTCAATGAACATTCTGTCAGATGTCCAAACTTCAAATTAGATTGAAGATCACACCTGAATTCATTTATTGAACGTATATGCTAGTATTGAACAACAGTATATAAGAAACTATTTTAAGAGATTGAGTAATTAGATTTCCAATATATATATATATATATATATATACCCACAGGATAGCACAGTATGCCAAACTACCCAAATGATGAAACGTGAAATATCTGATTAGTGAATGTGAAAGTCTGATAAAATAGCTCTTTCCACAGACTAAATAAAAATCTTGTACTTGAGTATAGAATCCGTATCCTAGTAGGTTCTGCATCATAATCCTAACATTTATGCCTATTCTTGTGGTAAATGTTGGATTGCTTCCAAATAGAACAATTGTTTAGATACGAGATAATTCATAAAAGAAGCTATCTTAATGATCTCTCAATGCTTTAAATTGATAGTTGACATCAAGGGAACCTAGGATCATGTGTGGTCAAGTAAATGTTACAATGATTATAACCATGCATTCCGTGCATGATGTATGCTAATAAATGTCATAAAACCCTTAAACTATCGACTATATATCAATGATAAGAATCATTGTGACATCACCAACTTCATTATCATCTTAATGCCAAGAGAGAAGCAATACATACACCAGATACACACACACCCCATCAAATAACTCCAGTAGGCAAACTCGCTTATAAATAGAGACAAGAACCTATGCAGATAAGAATTAAAATTATTTAGTTCCCAGCTTTTGCCTCGGTGACTGGCGCTATTGGCCATGATCTCTGGATTTGATTCACCAAGACGTTCTAGGTTCTCTATTCTGACTAACATGGAATACGGGATGATGCGTACCTAATAGAATCTAAATTACAGAGAAACAAAAAATTCAAGCTCAATAGAACTTACTCCCAGGGAACATCACCCACAAGCATCCAGTCACCATCTTTGTCCTCATATGTGAGAACATATTCGGAGCCATGAAGCAGATCCTTAAGCTTGCTCTCACTCAGCATCTCCTTGTTCAGCGCTCCATTAGATCCGCATTGACCTGACACTAATAAAAAGAGCAGTAACTAGATTCAACTGTGAGATATATCTCTTACAAAACATTCTCAACTCGGAGTAAATCATGTGATTGTTACAAAGGAAAGGTCAACGTTTTTGCTACAGATTAATGCTAAAATAGCTCACCCAGGGCGAAACAGCTGAACTTCTTCTCAAGGGTAGAAGACAGATCCTGATATCCAGAGTGAGTTTTCAAGTCTATTTTTCTCTTAAAGGGAGCCCCATCCATGCTGACCTTGACATAAAGAGCCCCAGTGCTCGATTGTCCATCTAATTCATCGGTGTTCTTTGAGGTAGTAGCCAATGAGTTCTTCCGAAATGATCTTATAGGTGGCCAACCAACAACCTGTGCCCTGTCATGCAAAAAGGATCAGAGACGAGACCCTTTCCACAGTTTAGCCCAAACTTTTTGCCTAAATCAGTTTACCGCATACTTTGATGCAGGTGCGTTACTATTTGCAGAACCATTCTGGGTAGATCTACTTTCATTTGCAGCACGTGGCCTCTCTTGTGGTATCTTTGGCGGGGCAGAGTCTTTGACTTTAGATGGCTGAGTCCCAATGTTATCAAGCGCAGAACCCGTTTTCAGTCCCATATTTGAAATAGGCCTAGGCGACAGCACCAAATTTACATCCGCATTAGTCATATATTTTCCCTGCATCAGATATGATATGGTCTTAAGAGTAGGGCTGAAATAAAAAACCTATTTCCATAAATGAATGCAGTAATTTTCACCTCCGAGAAACCATTCATGGCATCAGAGAATCCTCTTTTGTTTCCCGATACAACAGTTTTCAGCGAATGATTGTAGTGAACATCATTGGAAGGGTGCAGCGGAAAAAGTTTCTTCTCATCCAGTTGAGCTGAGCTTTGTCTTGGTCCTGGGTCCCTTTCAGGTGACTGGGATCCAGGAAGCCCAAGCCTTAACTCTGTAGCTTTCAGATTCAGGGTTCTTTTACTCTCATCAGATGCAGGGGAGACCACCGAGCAGTCCCCCGAGGAACAGTCCGATAATCCCATGTAGTTACGCTCTTTCAATTCACTCTCCATGGAAGGTGAGGAAGTCAACACTGTAACATTGCTTTGACCCTCATCCTCCCCAACACCGTGCAGTGGTGGAGACATCAGAATTCAGATGCATAAACGTAAACTTCCTACTTTTTATCTATAACCTGCAAATTCACCTTTTTGTATCATAATTTCCAAATAAATAATACAAAAATTAGAGAAGCCCAGAATTTTCAAATGGATCAAGGAGCAAAAAGTAGAATAAAAACTGCAAATGCATGCAAGTGGACGATTCATTTTGAAATCTTCCTAATAAAATCAAGCATTCCTTTTAATCACAAAATATTCCCAGCACCAACAAGGCAAACTAAAAAATCATATATGATGATAATAGCAAGAAGAATATCATTCATAAAAATGCAAAGTTTCAGCATATGGGGTAAACTAATAAAATAAAACAGCGTGAAGCTTAAGGCCCTAGCAATCTTCACTTCACTAGTAAAAGGAGAATCCAAATCTATTAAACAAATAAATA